GAAATCTGCCCTGCTGTATTGGCTCTCTCAAGCTCACAATCCACTGACAGTTCCTCCTGTGCTCACTGAAGCTACGCACAGAAGAGTGGGTGGGGTTTACTGGCTTTGGCTCTCAGTACAAAAGCAAAAATTGCTCCCAGCACGCTTACCAGCTAACAACAAAGTCACTGGTACCAAAGTTCATTTTCCAAAGGGGTATATACACCGTAACTCTTTACTGGAGGGCAGCACTTTAGACAGTCAGGGTGTCCGAAGCTCTAGCACACAGGAAACCTAAAAAAAGTGTGCCTCTCTAGTGTAGAAATCCTTGTGTGCAAATTAAAAAGCAAGAATGTACTCGCAAACAGTTGGTATTAGGTAAACCTGTAGTTAGAGATTCATCTGCGGTGTGAGAATGTCGGTCACAACAGGAGCATACATCCCACTACTGGCATGGCAACTAGGTAACGTGTTTCTGGGACAACGTACCCTTCATCAGATGTCCTCGACCCCTTACGGTCTGGCTTTTGCCCCCAACACTCCACTGACACTGCCCTCCTTAAGCCAGCCTGATAGGCTGGGCTTCCTATCAGTATATGGGAACTCAGTAAATTGGTTATCCCTTCAGCACTGGACCTTTCAATTGTTGGACTCCGATTCATTTGGACAATGCTACAGCAGGTGGCACCCGTCAACCATTAGGAAGCAATCAAAAGTCTTGTGGCTCAAAGAGAGGGTGATTAAATTCTGGCTTAAGCGAAACTCTAGTGGGGGACACTGGATGTGGACCTCCTGGCTCAACCACAAACTGAGTAGGTTTGTCTCCTGTTCCAGGGACCCTCTAACCATAGCAGTAGATGCCCTGGTGACTCTGCGGGATCAATTCTACCTGACCGTCTTTACCCCCCTCTGAAGTTTATTTCTCTGCTTTGAGAAACTGTAACGGAGGGCTGACAGCCAGTGGTTTCAGCACCCAAGCATTCCCCTGTAACTCGGCATGCAGACCTGATTAGAGGTTATTGCTGCAGTCTGATTAGTGCTACTAGTTAGGTGCCACAGGTTTTACACATGAGGAAATTTAAAGATGTCAAAAAAAAATTATTTTGTCTTGCCAAATATGTTTGATGCAAAATTGATATTTTGACCTAATTCTAATTCTCATGGCTTAAACAAAGGCTTTACATACCACCAATTGTGTATAATTAGAAACCTTTGCCAACTGTTACTGTGGTTATAAACAGTGTATGTATAAATGTGGGTATAAACAGTAGAAGTTTGAATTTAGGAACTAAATTGTAGTGCAGCCTTTTCGAAGCATGTTGGCGACTTCTTTAAGCAAAATGAACTGACAGCGAGAAGCATGCATTTTATACATAAAACAGCAAAGAGATGCAGATGTAACCTGTTATACAACTTGTGTGTACAAAATGCCATACAGGTCTCTGTTGGTGGGGCTGGACAAACATTAGGCCAGTGAATGATTCTACACAGATTCACTATTATTAACAACAAAACTGGCGTTCCTTTAGCTGTGGTCTTTTGCATGAGGAGACCACAGCATAAAATGACCATCATGTTACATTGTGTAAATTCATAATAAAATTCAGGACTCTTGCACTTGGCCTAAAAAGACACAGACATGTTATGTGTCACTATGATTTTCTGTGTACCATCATCCCAGGCTCATCTCCATGTCACAGGGACGTTAAAAAAGACTCGCACCATCCTCACTTCCCAGTTAGGTGTGAAGTGTGACAGGATGGTTAAATGGAGACCCTGATCCCTAGCTACATGTGTATGCTAAACTTTTTACCACCCAATCTTACTCATATGGGCCATGTAACATCTGTGTCTCTGGTGTTGCATGTTTCTCAAGATTGCATTACAGTCTGTTTAGTTAGCCAAAAAATGGTATCCAAACTTTTACTTTTTTCGATAGCTAACTTTCTGTTGCTGTCAGTTACAAAACTATTAATGATTTTAAATAAATATAGTCTGTTTTCATGATGTGACTGTGTGATAAGATTCTGTGTATAATTTTATAAATATAAAGTACTTGAAAAATCTTGTGTTGTACAGCTTAAGCTGCAGAATGAGATTAAACTGATAGAATATGCAATAAAAAGCATATACATTAATAATATTGAATGCTGTTGTTGTATTTATACAATGTGTATATCAGTAATCATTCAAAATACATGTTTATTATAAATATTTAATATGCACTGCTTAAAATTAGGGATGCAATGATACCGAGTATACCAAATGCTCCGATACTTACCTCCTATACCAAAACTTCCATGCAGAGGGAGGTCTCCCTCTTACCAGCAGTGCCGAGGGAGCAGCCTCCTTTCCAATCAGGAAGCCTGGCGGTGGGTTATGACCCGCCTCCTGGCTTCCTAATTGGCTAGGAAGTCGGCTTCACGAGTTGCTAAGCAGCCTGGCTTCCTGACCAATTAAGAAGCCGGGCGGCAAGTCATGACTCTCATCCCGGCTTCCTGATTGGTCAGGAAGCCAGACTGCCTAGAAACAAGTGAAGATGGTTTCCTAGCCAATCAGGGAGGCGGGTCATGACGTGCTGCCCAGCTTCCTGATTGGCTAGAACGCTGGCTTCACTTGTTGCCATGCAGCCCGGCCTCCTGACCAATCAGAAAGCCGGATGGCACCTCATGCCTTGCCGCCTGTATTCCTGATTGGTCAGGAAGCCAGGCAGCCTCTGAAGCCGGTGTTCTTTTGCTAGAATACATACCGGCTTCACAGGTAATCAGGAAGCCGGGCGATGGGTCACAATCCACCGCCTGACTTACTGATAATTGGGGCACAAGACATCAGTACTATGTCGAGTACCGAAATAAAAAAAATGTGGAACCGATACTGAAATTCTTTTATATTTTTTATAAACTTTTTAATTTTCTATATTTATTTTTATTAGTGTACGTTGCTCTTCTCTCTGACACGCTGTAACAGGAGGCTGATCGAGCGGTGTAGAGAGGAAAGACCAGCCTCCTGTGACGGCGCTGTCTCCGCCCCCACACCGGTCTTCCGGACTGTGATAGGCGGCAAAGCGGTGTGGGAGGAGACGCCAACTGCTCACAGTGCTCTCCACCGCATCGCTCGGCCGGCTGTCACTTTCTCTTCTCCCCGCTAGGACATAGAGCAGCGCCCAGCGGAGAGGAAAGAAATCGGGGATGCGCCGATGTATCGGCAGGAAAATGGCACTTTCGGCATTATGCCAAAAGTGCCATTTCGGCCGATATATCGGTGCATCCCTACTTGATACCTAAAAACCGGTAACAGTGCATCTCTACCTAAAATATAGATATGAACAGGTTTTGCCCTCAGACAAGATTGCAGCATAATAAAATGACCAAAGTTGGGAGTGACTTCAGAAAATGGCTGCCCTTAGAAACGGGTGGGTGCAAACAGCACCTTGTGACAGTATATAGACTCACCACGCACACATGTGTGTGACGTTATTACACATGTGATGTCATAACATACGTGATGCACACGTATGCGTTGGCCATAACTATAGTCCTAACATTTAAGCGGTGCCCAGTTTGCTATTATTATTTAAAGCACCAACAGCAGAATTTGGTTTTTAATGCAATGGCTATTTAAAAGTTTAGTATGACAAGTATAAAATCCATATGTAAAAGGTACAAGGCCCACAATGCCCATAGAAGAATATAAACAGGATCTCACAGAAACCTCAGGGGTAGTGCCTATAGTTTACAGCTCCGTAATGAAAACAATGTGTTCAATATGCTGATATATAATGTTAGCACTTCACATTAAGCACGAAACCTTGGCTGAATTGGGTCACACTACATGTTTATAAGGTAAAAGGCCGAGGACAAATAAGGATAGTAGTGCAATAGCCCAAATGGATAAGTGGGAAGGGAAGACAAGAAACAGAAGGAACCCTAAGTGGGTAGAGGTAGGTAGACAGTAAGTGTTGTTAAACAGGAGGAGGAGTCACCCAGGGCACAAGGTCATAACCACAGAAAAGGGTTAGTGCATGGATAGATTCAGACAATTTGAACAAGTGCCCCAAACAGCATTAAATGTATTCATCTTGTATCAGAGTGAGTGTAGGAGGCAAGAAACAGTAAGATAAGACCATCAATATAGATTCAGGAGGGAGAGGAAAAGTATTGGCAGCAGAATTTAGAAAAGGTATAAAGTAAGATTAGATAGTATTTAAAAACTAAGTGAGGAATACGTATAGAACTTTAGTTTAATAGAAAAAAGCAGTAAATTGTTATTAGCGCAAGAAGGATTTGGAGATAGGTACTCCCTAGATTTTAGAGGTACATATACCTGCCTTAGATTGGTAGTACTGGGAATTTACAGATACCTCTCTATCGCTCCTGATACTTTCACTGTAGAGAGTGACAACCTCCAGCATGAAACACAAATGGTATGTCAATATAAATAGAACAATTCAAATAAGTTCTTAACAGCTATAATAAAAGCTACATTTTATTACCGCATAGATCAGATGTTTGGGTCAGTGAAATGCATAGCTTCCACGGTATTGTAAATACTATGTGAAAACTGCAGACTCTGTGAGTGCAAGGTGCAACAGACCCTGCTCTGTAGCATAACTGCACATTTCATGGAAACATTCACGTTTAAATTCAACTTAATATTTTTTGTTTTGTTTTGGACCACCGTTGAGTTTTTATTGGTATCTAGGGCTCCATTGGAGAGAGTGCCTATTGTTTACTACTTTATTTTTACAAAAAAAAAAAAGATTCAGTTTTTGTTGCTGTTGGATATTTCCCCTCACTTACTGTCTGGTGAAATCATTGTCTCCAATCTATCCCAGATAACAGTAAAGCTAGACAGGGGTTCTAATCTTTCCTTGCGCTATGCAAAGAAAAAAAATTCTTCATCTGTGTATACATTGCTAGCATTTTGTTCTCTTGTATTTCAGAAATGTTCTTGTTCTAGTGAAAGGAAAATGTTAAAGCTATTTAAAATAAGTAATTGTTTTTTCTTCCATTTCTCTTCAGTGCCCAGTGCTCCACCAAGAAAAGTTGAGGTGGAAGTAATAAACTCGTCCGCCATTAAAGTATTTTGGCGTTCTCCTGTCCAAAACCGTCAACATGGCCAAATTCGTGGCTATCAAGTTCACTATGTTAAAATTGAAAATGGAGAGGCAAAGGGGCTTCCTTTTATTAGGGATGTTATGCTGACTGATTCGCAGGTAATTTGATACAAAACAAAATGTACGATACATTCTGCAAATAGTTTTTGATGGATATGGATCAACAATACATGTAGAGTGAAAAATAGCTGCTGTAGGTGTGATCTGGAAGCACTCAAAGCTCACTTAAAGGAGAACTATGGAGTTAAGGTTTTTCCCTATAGTTCTCCTTAGGGTAACGGGAGCACACAAACTAGCGTCCTCCCGTCACCCTATGCTCAGTATACTGCGAGCTGTAGCTCGCGGTATACTGAGACGCCGCAGTATACCGTGACTGCTGCTCGCGGTATACCAAGACGCTGCAGCCGAAGATGATACCGACAATTATGTCTGGATCCACCCAGCTGGGTGACTGACAGCTGGCTCTGCCTATCTAGAGGCAGGGCCAGCTGTAGCCTCCCCCGTCCGTTCCGCCAGTCAGCGCTGGCGGATCGGAGCTGGGAGGGGGGAATCCAGCCCCTCCCCCTGTCACGGCAGAGAGCAGTGACAGGATCGAGAGGTGAGCGAACGCCGGTATGTGTTCGCTCACCTCCCGATCTACTGAGCCGACCTGTGATAGTCTCATTGTCACAGGACGGCTAGAACTATAAGGTGAGTGAAAAGCACTCACCTCATAGTTCTCCTTTAAAGTAAACATGTTAACCATTTTAAGTATTTAAAAGGAAAGACACTTGAAGATCCCTAAAAACCAGCTCCTCAGACTGCCACGAAAATCGTTTTGTTTTCTTAGCAGGGACTGGATTTTGTTGACCTGTAGGCTTTGTCATGCTCACCAGTCCACACTCTGTCCAGTAGGGGTGCACACTGTAATACATGCACATCTACCTATAGTTTATCCCTTTAAAAAATGCTGGAAGTACCTTAGACCTGCCAGAAATGTGCTCGGCTCTTAACCATCCTGCTCAGCTTTGTTCAAAGAAGGATGTACATCTTTTTGAGCTTTTTGTGTTTTATCCTCAGTCAGTAGTTGGTGATAGATCCAGCCAGATGCAAAAAATTCTCTCCAGTCTGCAATCAAGGTAGTAATCTGCTGTCTGCACCAACAATTGTTCATACCCTAACTGCCTCACCATGCCCTTTTGAAAGGTTTACTCCTGTTTCCTTATCCTAGTTGCTTTCCTTGCATGATTACATGTGGCAATGTCTGGCACAATAGGGGGGTAGGTTGCCATTTAGTAAATGTTCTTTTTTGAAGTGTCAAGTTCGACAGTGATAGGGAGAGCTTGTTTTGTATCGCCTGTACAAAGGCTACTGAGCTGATCACCTCTGCGACTGTCTCTGTGTCCTTCCTTGAGCCACCTGAGGTGCTGAAGCTAAACTACCTTACTTATTATGTTTTCTCCTCAAATGCACGGCCATGCCCACAAATCTGTGCATCCTTATGGTCTACTGCATAGGGTCATGGCTGTACACACGTGTGTGTGTTCATGCACATGTGCATTAGCATGAATGAGCGAGCCCCTTTAGCACTAGGTTTGGCACCAAGAAGCCTATTTAAAGCAGAGAACAACTGAGGAAAGCTGCTCAGTGGTTGTCAGCATCTGTGATCTGACCCGAGTTTTGCTATTTTGTACTTGCCCGGCTTGCCTCCCAACTCTGCTGTATCCAGATCTTCTGTTACTGACCTTGACACGTCTTCCTTTTTTGCCTGCTGTCTTGGTAACTCTGCTGCATGTCTGTTAATGACCTTGGCCTGGACTTTGACCTTGCTCCTTCTGCATTGGTGCCTCTGCTGCCCAGCAGTTGCTGACACTGCCTGTCTTGACACCAGTTCTTCTCCTTGCACCTGGAAGTTCCTGTTTCCGAGTTGTGTACCAGCTTCATGTGCAGACCTAATCCAAGTATTTTCAGCATCTCAACACTTTTCTGTTTCTGCTGCGTCTGGACCCACTACAGGCATCTGTTTCACTCCTCATCCTGCTAAACCCTGTCTCCTACTCTAGGCAGTATTGGACAGGTGGTGTGCGGGAAGCCCTTTTGTAAACTTGTCGTATATACCAGGTTCATGACAGAGGGCTTTATTCAGGGGCCCAAAATACACTTCTCCCCCTCTCCCCAGCGAACCCAAATCCTTACCATCTCTTAGTGATGAGTATATCCAAGGTGGTTAAGAGCACTCTTTTTTTTAAGAGCACTCAGTTTTGACCTGCTCCCTTCTCGAGCAATGTGATAGGCTTGAGTTCCCACAAGCACAAGTGGTCTGTTGGCCCACATTCTTGCTGAGTAAGACAAGTCCCTGAGCCATGATTTGGAGGCTGTTGAAATAAATACAGACCTTATGTGCATCAAATTATCTTGGCCCTCAGCATCACATGGGATGGAAACTTGGACTCTCGTTGGTTTATGTCACACATCAGTCTGTCATTTGTTAAGATGCATTATGGCTTAAGTGCAGGCACGACTTCTGCAACTAAGGTCATACGCTACCTGGTCAACCTTCTTTTAAGGAAATGGTCATCTTTGGATCTTTCAACCGATGCTAACATCACTCCTCATAAACTTAGAATGTTTGAATGGCTGCTAAACATACAGAAATCAGTGTGGACACTGGCTCATTGCGGGATGTACCTAGATCTCACCCTGGACACCACTGTAGCCAGAATCTTCCTACATAAGGAAAAAATGACGAGACTTCGGTCTCGGGTTCAGCAACTCCAGTCGTGGAATTGATCCACATTACGGAGTTGAATAAGAGTATTGGACCATATGATATAATTCTTTGAGGACCAATTTCACTTGAGAGCCTTGTAGAGAAGCATCTGATCTGCCTGGGACAAGTTGCCTAGGACCTTGAACAGGCATCTCAAGTTTGGATCCTCATCCCTATGGTGCCTAGTATCTCCAGCCTGAATAGTGGCAAAGTACTTTCTCCCTGCTTAGGCAGCAAATAGTTCAGATTTATGCAACCCTTCCGGGCTACGAATAAGTAGTAGGTACCCTAATGGTGCAGTGCCTCTGGCTGCCAGTGGAAGCTAAACTTCTAATCAGTATTCTAGAACTTTGACCAATTTGCCTTTCGCTGATGAAGTCAGTCAAGACCAATTTTGCACCCTGCTTCTTGGTTGCTGAATTTAATAGCATGGCTCTTGAAGCTTAGGTACTGAGGGACAGAGTCATCTCTGAATTAGTGATGCCCACTATGCTTAAAGCCAGAAAATACATTTACCATCCATTTGCAAGGCTTCTATTCAGTTGAGAGAATCCTTTTGACATAATGATGGCTCTCGTTATCATCAAGGGCCAGGTGTCAAACTTAGGTGTTCTTTCAGGGTCCATTACTGAATTGGATCTTTGTGCAAGCAATCACTCATATTTGTCTTTTTGTTCTCCAATTCATCTGTTTGATCTTAACTTGGTCTTATGAGTACTTTCCATTAGGGGGCTTTTTTGAGGATTACTTCGGCCAGAAGTATTTCTTATTTGCCTGCTTTGCCCTGTAAAAAACCCTTGTTCTTGTTCTTTTTTTTTTTAAGAGAAAGTTTTTGTTCCATTTTAAACAAAGAGGAAGAGTTGCAAATATGCTCAAAAAGTAGAAAATACAAAAGTACAAAAAGTAAAAGTAATACATTGAGTTCTTCTTTCCAAGCTATTTCCTGTTTTCCACTTAAAATTAAGACATTGTCTTGCCTGTTTGTGTCCGACTCCTACACATTCCAAGTTTATAGGTGGTTAGTGGTCTTAGAGTCTATTTTAAATGCAATAGCTTCATTTATAAAATTAGATTTTTTTTCTTTGAAATGTGGGAGGATCCCCATAAAGGATCTTCGGCTTCCAGTTCCACCATTTACCAATGATTTCACCACACTCTTAATCAAGACTTAAAGTTCCACCTTTTCCTGCATGTACCCACACCACCAGGATAGTGAGTGTGTCTTGGGCCTTTTGGCCATCTGACTTTTGTGTATTAGTTTTGTAAAGTTGCGACCTGAGTTTTGCTCCACACTGTCACAAAATATTTTGAGGTGCATTTATCACCATCAGGGAAAGCAGGTTGAATCACAAGGCAGCTTGGTGAGCTCCCAGATTTTTTTTATGTTGGGCTCCGGGCCACCTTTGGTTACGGTTTGCCCACTCCTCTGTTTTCTAAACTGCTTGGGGCGTCCCACGGCTCATAATTATGGAACACTATGTCTCTTAATTGATCATAATGAAAATGAAGTATATATTTAACTTGTTTTTATGCTATGTACTAGCTCTTTTTTAAAATACTACCAACATTAAAATTCAATATTTTCTACGGTCCTCTGTCTTTCTGGAGTTGTCATTCTATGCCTAAAAAAACCCAACCTTTTATTTTCCTTTTTGATATATATTTAACGTAACAAGATACACATACACTGGCCATTGAAATTATTTCAAATACTCAAGGTAGCCCTAAAGTCATGGAAGTCGTGACCCCTAGTAGCAAAGTAATAAATTAAAGATTTACAAAGAAGGTTTTTTCTAGTTAATAACATAGCATGCATCTTGTATCTGCTCTTAGACAAGACTTTAAGATGGACACAGGACACAAGTTTAAAATGTTGACAGGTTCATTCTAATCACATGAATACTAGCCTGTATATACCCCTTAATGTTTCAGTTTTCATTGCTGTGACAATTTGACCGACAGTTATTTGTTATTAAACACTGTACTCAAATTACTGTCATTTTGCATTATTTTTTGAGACAGGTGAGCTATCTTTTGATGGTATTTAGAAATCACTGTTTTTTTTTTGTTTTTTTTTATTTCTACAATATTATAAAAAATGGCACAATTTGGAATTGCTTACATTTACTTTTCATTTCTTTATCTTTAAAAAAAAAAAACCCCGGTTATTGGTGGTCAGCAGCACTTTTACCACCACCTTAAAAAAAATTCACTGGTGGTCAGTGGCACCCTCTTTCTTCCACCTTTTAATCTGCTACAATCCTCCTTCCTGCTGTGTTTACAAACATTCACCACTCTCTTTACTACACTTCCTCCATTATGTTTGGGCTGAATGTAACTTGTAATGGCTGCGATTGGTTTACAGCAATCACAAGGTACAGATTGGCTCTGCACGTTGTGGGTGTGCCCTAAGCTGTCCAATGACAGCTTGACCACAGCCAATCATGGGTGCACTGGTCACCTGTGTGAGCTTTCTGCAGCAACATTTGTAAATAATTATTTATAATATTACATATATAATTATAATAGCTTCCACTTCTACAATTTAGCTAGAAAAAAAAGTCCTGGGCGTATTTTTACAGGAAAAATTGCATTACAGAAAGTATAAACCTTTGGATCTTGCATAATGCTAAATATGTTGGGCCTGATGATAGTATCCCCCTCCTCCTTTCTACCATGTTGTGCTTCAAAGATTAAAGAAAGAAACAATCTGACTGCTTGAGATGGAGAAAGAGAATCATTTTTTCTATACACTCTTCAGATTATTGTGACACCTTCTGTTTTAGATTTCAAATAGAGCTGGTCATCACAGCCAATCTTGTTTTGCAATTCATATTATTATTTCTTTCTCTACTGCCTTTCCTTACTCAGTGGGAAATGGATGATACAGCTGAATATGTAAGTAATACAAGCCTTTTTTTGCCTTACGTGTGTATGTGTTTTTTTTTATATTGCTGTTAACAGAAACCTGATCTGAGAGAAATTTCAAGGCTGCCATTGCTGATTATTTTTCTATAAAAATGCAAGTTGCCTCGTAGTCCAGATATTCTTGTGATTTCATTACTTTAAGTCACTAACCTGAGAAGCATGCATCCATTGTGCTGAGAGTGAACTCCTTATTTATAATGTTAGTCAGAGACTTGGTAAGTAATTAAGCCATTTAGTCAGCAAGAAAGCCAGGCATTTTCCGAAATAGAAGTCAGCCTCTATTTTCTCAGCACAGGTTCCTTTTGAGGTTCTACTTCTACGTGATTAGTGGATTTTATTCTAACAAACCCTCCTAAAAATTAACATTTGTCTAACTTAAAAAATATGTATAAATGTCCTATCTCAGCTGGCTGCCTGTACCACATATACCACAGCTTACAGACTTGATGCATCGCATACAAAGCAAAAACTCTTTTTCCAATTTTGGGTATAGTAGGAAAGGAAAGACCGTTTGTATTTTGCAGCCTAATAGATAATAGATAATAGGAATTGAGAATAAATTTCTCTATAGTGAGGCTATGTCACCAGAACAAGTGTCTTGGTTGGAAGATTTACCTTCACCTCTTATTTTGGTGACAAAGATTTAGATTTGCCATCACTTTGTCTTGGTGGCATTGGTTACTAGGACAAATAAAGACAAATAATTAAATGTGATCTGCCTAGTGGGAACACAGACAGCAATAAAAACTTGACAGAGATTTTAACCCTTCTCTACTCTATCCAAATAAAAAAAAGGTTTTGGCTGTAGATAATTATTTTTCAAGAACCATGGAAATATTTAAATCCACTGCTAAGTTTTTTGCCCTTGGTCTGTGCATGCACTGGAGTCTGCTGTAGAGAATGATTGGTTGTATCTAGAGACTCTATATGCTGTGATATGGCAGATTTGAGCAGAGCATAGGGTGGATTCTACTAGAAACCTGTCTCCTTGTTTAAGTGAACCTGTGCCCAGACTATGCACACTGAAATATTTGCAAATAAAACACAGTAAAACAAGTTCTTCACATCTGTATCTGTACATTGTGGAAAAATGTATGTTTACATTTCACAACAGAGGAACTAAAATTTGAGCTCTTTTCCTATAACTTTCTATCGAAACAGAATCTTCACAGTCTGCCAACTTCTAAACTGTTATAAACTGACTGAACCTAGATTTTGGAGTCTTTGTTGTGATTCTTGAGGACATTGCAGAATGAATCAAGCAGTTCGAGAAGCAGTTAGAGAGGTCAGGGATGGATTGTTTTAAAGCTCTCTTACGAATGAGAATATATAACGACCTCAACTCTCTCTTGCTGCCTACGTCGTTTTTTCATTTCTTTAACATTTGTTAAAATGCACGTTTTAGGACTGAAGATTACTAAAACCCCCAAATTATTATATATTTTATGAAAGCATAGACCATGAGATGAATACAATAGTGGCAGTTGCAATTTGTTATGGCAAATTTATAACTGTGCTACTTTTTATCAACTCTAATTTCAGTAAAAAAAATACACTTCAAATTAATTGTTTACTTTACTTTGTTTCTTTATTTTCAATGTGTTTGCATGAAATACATTGTGTATGTGAAGTCCATCGCAGACTGCAAGAAGGTTTTGTTTGTGATGTACAATAACCATGTCATTATGACTGACTATTGCTTTTCTTAGTACTGCTATTTCTACGAATTGCAGCAGAATACATTTATATAGGGAGTCTAACAGTGAATACCAGGAGAATGGAAGTTTCTACGCCAGGAAACTGTATCGAGTAGGCAAAAGGCAACTATCTTTAAGACTGGCTAACAGATCACTATAACATATCAGATAACTGATCATATCAGATCACTGGACTACCTTTGCTTCTTTCCATCAAGAAATTTATACTGTCTGCATCACGGGTTTACTGTGTTGATTATATTAGTCTTTTCCCTCTAGGCCCTGCTGCTTGTTTGCCTCATTAGCTAGTGAGTTTTGTTCTATATACAGACTCTTACTACCTGTAATACTATAGTCCAGAATAGTATTCTGTTCTGAAACTTTCAAACTTTTTTTTAAAAACTTTAATCTGTCCTCAGATGTTCAGATTATAAGTGTTCCAATAGACATAGCATGAACAATAATTATATATCCAGAAGCAATCATTCCTTGTGCCTCATAAAGAACCAGTGTTTAGGCATATATGCAGGGCGCAGCCCCAATACAGTCAGGGAGACTGGGATAACTGAAAGAAAACAAAAAAAGGGGCGCCTTTCCTGGTGCAGATCAATTTATTCAACAAATGGTAAAATATGAACTGACAAGTACTTACAAGAGTAGAATAACGAGCGATAGGACAGTTAAGAGACCCGAGCAGTGGAGGGATCCGTGTGATACGTCCTATGTGCAAATCAATGAAGTGAAGTGTCGACGCGTTTCTGGGGCACGCCCCCTTCGTCAGATCTTGATTCTAGTCTCCTCCCCACTTTGAATAAGAGGGGACAAAAAGCACCTGATTGGATAGTACTCTATAATGTTGATAGGATATTAGCCGGTTATAGGAGGTGGCCAAGTTGGTAATGGGTGGGCTAAACTAGCCTAATTTAAATCAGGTTTCACCCAACCTACAACCTTGGTCTCCCAGCCAATCGGAGCTGCGGAAAACCGAGTGTAGCACTGACAGTCTCTGTCCCTGTTAGTGTATCCCAATATATACGGACGGGACTCTAATGACACCCCTCTGCCAGCAAACTGGGAGGAAGAGTGGAGAGGAGACCAGAGTCTATGCCTCTTACCACAATAGAACGATGAATAATAGAGGATAAATATATATATGTGTGATGATTAAAAACGTTCATGAGAAATTTCATAAAAGGTTAAATGAATACTATTGTAGTATAGTGATAAACATCATAGGCAAACACAAAAGCTTCAATTTAAATAGTAAAAACATATGTATATACATATATATGTGAAGAATACATGATATAGGATGCATAATATTAAAGTGTATGTTAAAAATTAATTAATATAAAAAGGTATATGAAGAAAAATAGAATAAATTGATATTCGTTTGGTATCACTTATTAAGATGATTTAGGTGGTAACTTTATAAGTGTGCTGTAAGTATACTGGTGATGATTGACTAAAACAACCAAATGGTTATTGTTGGATACATAACCATTGGTCCATGGATGGAGGATTCCTGTCCAAATTAAGGACAGGCAAGCTCGATGACTAGGGTGGATCCAGATGACAATGAGATGGGGGAAAAAAGGGGGGAGGGAATCTAAACATGATCCAGATAACTGGCCAAAGGTTCAAAGTGAGGAGATCATCTCAAGTCCCTCATTCAGCCCTATGGGATGCATGCTATTGAGGGAGTATATCCAAAAGGCTTCTCTCTGACACAGTTTCCTAAATTTTTGGCCTTCATCAAAATTGTCGGGTATCGTTTTGATCCTGAAGACCTTTAGTCCTTCCGGATTTGATTTGTGGGCTTCTGCAAAATGTCGAGGGAGTGAATGGTCAGTTGCTTTCTTAAGAATTTTTTTTAATGTTCTCCAAACCTGGTCCTTGTTCGTGTTGTACGCCCTACATATAGCTTGCCACAAGGGCAAATAATGCCATAGATGACATAACACGATACACAGTTAATGTATTGTCTAATCGGAAAAGTTTGTCCTCTGGAATAAGTGATGTGTTTTTTTCTATGCCACAGGAAAGGACAAGCTCCACAACTATGGACTTTGCATTTATAACACCCCGTTTGCCCAAAAAGACCTTTACCTAGGTTAGTTCCTTTTAATAGATTTTAGTCTGCTGGGGGCCATAAAGCTACGGAGATCTTTGGGTTTCTTATATATGACGTTAGGACGATTCGGAAGAGTGTTTCAGCACGGGATCTTCCTTAAGTATTCGCCAGTGATTTTTGAAGATTTTAGAAATCCGAAAGGCCCCATTGTTGAACTGTGTGCAAAAACGAATCTTAAAGAAATCACCATCAGTTCGTTCTTTTTTGGGTATAGGCACCAAGTGTTAGATCTCTCTAACTATTTTAACCTCCTTGGCGGTAATCCCGAGTCTGGCTCGGGGTGAATTTTCAATGCTAGGAGCGGTAACCCCGAGCCAGACTCGGGGTTGCAGAGAAAAGTGACACTCACCTTGTCCCTGCGAGCCCGTGGCGTCCTCTGCTGTACGCGGCCCGAAAATGAAACTAAAAGCCGGCATCTGACTTTTAGTTTCATTTTCGGGCGTCACAGCCGGCGGCAAATTCAAAAGTCAAAAGTTGTAATGTACATAGAATACACACAATACAATGTAATCTGCTATGATTAGAATCATACCGCCAGGGAGGTTAATGAAAACACTGGAGGAGACATGTCATTGGGCATCGTCTGGGAGGCACACAAGGCCACAATTAGGGGATCCCTTATTCTCTATGGGTCGCGTAAAAAGAAAGAAAGAAATCGTGAGATAACAGAGCTTTCAGTAAGAGTGGCTACATTAGAACGGATCCATAAAGGATCATTGACAGACCAGGCACTTCAGGAATTGACAAAGGCGAGGGAGGAGTTGAAGGAAACACTATCCCTTAAATATAAGAGATCAGTTAATTACCTTTCTCAACGCTCTTACGAACGTGATAAGCCAGAGAAATCCCTAGCTAGGCTATTGAAAGATCGACAAAGCTCAAACTTTGTGGTCAAAATAAAAACCAAACAGGACGCTATGGTAAATATAACATCTGATATCTCCAAAGTCTTTAGGGAATATTATAAATCCTTGTATAATGTAAGACCTGAATCTACCACCCCAACTCTAGGCCAACATTTGGAACGCATCCAGACTTACCTAACTTCAACTCCTCTCCCCTCTTTAACTAAACCCCACATGGAAAGTTTGGAATCCCCTATAAATATAGAAGAAATTAAACAGGCTATAGCCGTAATG